AACAAGTCAAATGCTGTTGAACCAGACAAAAGAAGAAAAGGGCAAGATCTCGCACACACCAGACGTACCAAGGCAGAGGGGCAAAGCTTGCACAGCTCTGCTATAATAACCGCTACGCTAAGCAAACTATATTTGTGACCGCCACTGTGATTGCAGCTCTAAAATAGGTGTGCCCTTGTCAGCAAAAATACAAACCTTGAGATGTAAACTGAAGTATAAAAAGGCTTGAAGCAAGGCTGGGTATCTTTGGAGTAAGGGTTCCTGTTTCTCTTTCTGTGGGATTCCTGCAACCTGATCAACTGTGATAGCCTAATGAAGAGACATCATTGCTTTCAAGCTAAGCTGGTTCGCATGGTTGTTGCACCAAGGTCCAAGCGGCGGACCGAGGCTGGAGGTCCAACAACTCGCACCTAAGGAGTCATGCCAGCTGCTGTACAAACTGCAAACAGAAGATGGTCTGCACCCCAAAAAGCAGAAGTCATTTCCAAGAGAGGGCTTGGGTCATCACTTGGGTCCCAGGAAGAGACCCTGTCTTCTGTACCTGACTTTCCCACGACAGACTGATACCGCTCTGTGCCTCAGCTTCCCCACCACAAAAACACAGATAAGGATCCTCAGCTGCGTTTCATTCCAGGCATATCAACCCCCATTTTGAAAGAGAGATTTCTTATAAGGGGTTCAAAAGGTGTCCCTCTAGATATTTCAGTGGGGGATACCAGAGCACTCTAGAATAAACCCGATCACCTTAAAACCACGAAACTAGAGTCACCCTCCAGAGATCAGGCAAGACGTGGCGGCAGTGAGCGCCTGTGTCGATCTCTGGTCAAGGTCAGAGATCACAACTGTGCCCTCCAGCTTTAAAAAAGTCTATGAATCCATGAGCTCCACGGCAGTGGGACAACACCACTGCCTGTAACTCTTGTGTCTTTCCCCAAGGAAGATAAAAAATGGTGCCCGGTGCACTGGCGCGGCACAGAATTGAGCACCCACTCGATGCCAGTTCAGCGCAGGACTCAGGGTGGTGGCACGTACAGGCTGCGTGGCGGCACGACAGAGAGAGCTGCAAGGCCTCTGGGTATCGGGTCGCCTCACTAAAGCATCCCTCTTCTATTCAGCAGAGACCTTGCTCCACTGTACATGGAGGGACACATCAAGGTTTGCCAACCCAGCTGCCGGTGTCCCCACTCACGGGCTTGCTTTGCTCTCTTGCATCGTCTCCGCGGGCGTTTCCTGCCAGGTCCAGCCATGGGAGCCCAACCGTGCGGGCTGCCTTCCTGGAAGGATGGAGTATCCCCATCAGACAGTTCGAAACTCTGCTCCGAGTCCAGGCTAAATGGAGAGCAGGGAGGAAGGTCTCTGTTGTCATGGAAATTAACATAGCGACATCTTGAACAGCTTAGGCCATAGAAGTTTGCTTCGACTGAAGCATGAAGAAAGCTGGGGAATAAGGCCAGTTTGCCACTGTGCAAAGCCCGTACAGCCACGTAGGCCGTCCTTGCTGTGACCCCGCAGCCATGTGGACAGGTGAGGAGAGAGCAGACCCAAACAGCTGCTATGTGGGTGGAGGGCTATTCAATGTGGCCACTGAAAATGCAGGGCTCAGACTCATTAAAGGAGCCTCGGCGACCCCATTTTCCAGCCTAGGACTTCCTCTCTGGCACAAGCACAGAAGTGGCTTCACAACAAGAAGATCCCTTGAGCAGCTATTCCTTCTGCAGGGATAGTCTCCCCAGGACAGAGACCCTAACCACCCTCCTCACCATTAGGTTACCCATCCCATTGGCCATCAGATACAATGGGCAATGCAGCTAGCACAGAAGGGGCCCACAGACAGAGCGAGAGAGTCTCTTAATCGAGGACGCAAAATTTATGTCACGCCTGGATCATCGTTGGTACAGAATCGGGGGGTTTTGTTGTTGGTTTTTCTTTTTTCTTTTTTAAGTCCAGCTGTAGCCACGCGTTGCTGGCCAGCCCAAGGATGATTTATACTTCAGCGAATGAATCAATACGATATATGGCCAAAGACATCTTTAATCTTTCAGAAGGATTAGGCTGCAGAGGGGGCCGTCAGCAGCAGTCTACGGCCCTTCGCTTCAGATTTCAATTTGGAGAGCAGCTTTTTTTTTTCTTCTCCCACCCTCCACTTCCTACGCTTTCCTCCCACTCCCTTTTCCCCCTTGCCTCTCGTGCCCTGCAGCTAAAGCCATTCAAAACATCAAACTCCATTTAGTAGCTGGGCACTGCTGCAAGGGATGAGCTATTTGTATCGCAACCACCATGCACAAGGCCACTTGGGTACCAGGGCTGCGCCTGGAAGGAAGGCAGTAGCCCACTGGGGAGTGTCAGTCTGCCCCACAAAATGGGCTCCCAAGTGGCCCCAAACCAGCCCAAGGCTGCCTGCAGGGGAAACGCCTGATAAAAAGGCAACCATGCCCTCCCATGGGAGCAGGAGAGGTGTTGGGGCTGGAGAAGACATAGCCAGACCTGGCTTTAGGCAGTCTTGCACCATTGAGGACTCCCCTCAATGCTATCCCAACCAGTGCCAAGAGCTGGGCCTGCTCCCATCAGCCCCCACATAGAGGGGCATTGCCTCCCCTACTGGCTGGGGCAGCAGGAGAGGGGGGGCTTGGGAAAATAACACACA